GGGGGGTCCAAAATCTGCACCGACCATAATATGTGAGTCTGTATGTCTGCCCGAGTCTCCACTAACCACACATATCATAAGTAATTCTGTTCTTCTGCCTGCACTAAGCGAAAGTAAGTCTGTTTTTGGTGGGATTTTTTTGGTTTTTTTTGTTTGGCATTTTGCACCGACCTTAAATAAATATGTTTTATTTGTCTGCGACTCTGCACCATGAGCGAGTCTGTTTTTTTGCACTTATATGACCTTATTGAGTTGCAAGTGCCGTAAAACACTTACGAAAATCTGCATTAACCATAAGTAAGTCTGTTTGTTCGTTTATTTTATTTTGTCTGACTTCCTCTCTTCTGTCCATCTATTAACCCACTTCTCTGTTCTTCTATCCATCCTCGTGGGTGGTTGGCGGGTGCTCTTGTGTGGTTTGCTTTTTGTTTCCTATCAAATATCTATCGTCTTTATCTCCCCTCTCTTGTAACACCTCTAATCTTCGGCACTTATATGACCTTATTGTGTTGCAATTAACGCAAAATTCTTACTAAAACAATATCTCCCCTCCTTCTTTTTTGCGTTTGTTACTCTCTAGTAACACATCTAATCTTCGGCACTAAGTTATATGACCTTATTGTGTTGCAAGTGCCGTATAACACTTACTAAAACTAAAACTATCCCTCCCCCCCACCCCACCCCACTGTCATTGTATTGTCACTGTCATTGTCATTGTCATTGTCATTATCATTGTCATTGTCACTGTCATTATCATTGTCATTGTCATTGTCATTGTCATTGTCATTGTCATTATCATTGTCATTGTCATTGTCATTTTCATTTTCATTTTCATTGTCATTTTCATTGTCATTTTCATTTTCATTGTCATTTTCATTTTCATTGTCATTTTCATTGTCATTTTCATTGTCATTGTCATTGTCATTATCATTGTCATTGTCATTGTCATTATCATTGTCATTATCATTGTCATTGTCATTGTCATTATCATTGTCATTGTCATTGTCATTCTCATTGTCATTGTCATTATCATTGTCATTGTCATTGTCATTATCATTGTCTCTGTCATTGTCATTGTCACACCTTTTTATCCCCCCCTCCCCCACCCCTCTCAGACAACGGTGCGGTCCAGGGTGTGAGCTACCACGGCCCAGACGGCAGGTTTGTGTCTTCGGG